TTGAAGCCGCCGACTCCGATCTCCAATAATGTCAAAATCCAAGGGTTTTACCGACGTGATTGTGATCTCCTCCTCCTCCTCCTCCTCCTCCTCCGATGACGACGACGATTACCAAGATGAGATACGAGACTTGGTGACGGCGACAAAGATGAGGGCGACTCTCGTAGGGGCGAAACGTTACGTAAGCCCCAGCTCCGTCGAGGTGAAGACGGAGAAAACTAAGAGAGATGATGAAGTTGATGATGATGATGATGATGATGATGATTGCTGCATTCTCGATTTCAATCCTTTTGAATCCGCCGCCGCCGATCTCGTGACCAAGCTCTCCCTTGCCGATGGTGATGACAGCGACCTAGATGAAGAAGAAATCTCCATTCTCTCCGTCAAAGGAGAGGTATTTCTTCTCTGTCTCCTTTAATTGATCATACTCCTATCGTGTTTACTTTAGTTGCTTAGGGTTGAAGAAAGGAACCCAATTTCAGAAGAAAAAAAGATTTCATTTTTTTATAGAATTTCCTTCTCATGGGCATTTGATGTGATCCCCCTTAAGTTAGAATCTAGATTAAAGAATCTTTTATTACCATCGTTTGGAAACACAACGTACAACAAGGTGGAATATGCATATCGTAACAATTAATCAAAATTAATCAAAATTAGAATAATACCTTGAACACTTTCTTATCTTTTGTAATCCATCTCCCAAGATCTACCTGAAAAAATTTCATAACTTTCTCAAGATAAAAAGCCTCCAATTGAAATTCACCCGTCACCGAAGAAGAGCAATACTCAGAGATAGGATCTCAATTTTTTATTTTTTATTTTATTTTTCTTTTTATTCATAAGATTTTGTGTATCTTCATAAGGCTACATATGAACCTTATATACAGGAATATACATGATTAGACTAGCCTTATAGATTTTAATTTTAAACAATTCATAATTGTTCAAAACTCTATTCATAACAATTAAAGATAGAATAGAATTGTTCAAACACTATATCCATAATAATTAAAGATATAAGAGAATTTGTATTGCTCGTAAACCTCTTCTAATGATATTATTTTGACCAATTAGGTCTCATATCGAGAACTAATTATTAATCAAATTAATAATTTTAATTTAATAGTCAAATCCTTATCTGACCAACTGTTCATAAAAACTCTTCTATAATATGAGATTAATTATTTATAAATAATATCTTACATTTAGCCACATTCAGTATCATTTATTTTAGGCAACTCTTTTGAGCAGGAGAATTCGCCTTCTTGTTCATGTCTAAATTACAATTCATTTAAACATAAATAAAAATTATTTTAAAATATTAAAATATTTTATTTTTATAAGAAAATAAATTTTAAAAAATATTTTTCAAAATCACTTGCCTGTGGGAATTTAATAACATTATTGAATCACATAATAAATTAACCAAGGTTGTTGATAGCGGATCGCGGCGCGTCGCGGCGAGGTACCGCTAAGGCTATTGCGCGTTATTGCGGCGAAATAGCGGTAAATAGCGCACTGTCAAATAGCGGTCAAATATAAATATATTTAAATGTTCTAAATAATAAGAAAAATCAAATAAAAATCTAAAAATTCTACAAATGCATAATTGATAAGCTTGTTGTATGAAATATGAATGAACTATGAAGAAATAAATTCAAGAAATATAGCATCTAATTAGTTAAGGGAAGTCGATTACCTGTTTCTCTGTTGCAGACGAAGCCGCTGCCAACAGAGATGGAGATGTTGTCGTCGGAGCCTGGAAATCTGACGATCGTCGGAGCCTGGAAGTCTGTCGGTCGGAGCCTGGAGGAGGAGGATGTTGTCGTCGGAGCTTGGAGGAGGAGGAGGAGCTTGGAGGAGAGGACAGTAATCGTCGAAGTCGTCGTCAGAGGGCCGTGAGAGAGAGGATAGTCGTCATCGGAGAGAGAGGGCAGTCGTCGTCGTCGGAGTCGTCGTCGTCGGGAGTCGGGAGTGGGAGAGAGAGGGAAGTCGCTGGAAGTCATC